ATCGGAATGTCCAAAAAAGTAGATGTTAAAAAAATTTGGTTTTATCGCAGCCATTCTTTGTGATGTTCAAAATTTTTTTTTCGGTTTAAGTAATTATGATAATAAAAGATTCAGAAAAAAAAAAAACGAATTTTGTTTTGGTTGCTGGTCATTGCTGTAACATAAAAAGAATTGGTAATGATAATATTAATAACAATAACAAAAATAGTTGTAAGAACTCTTAAAAAAATAAAAAAATAAAACTTTTTTGAACATTTGTTATGTATCGCCGTTGGGAAGATGGCGACTTTTTTTTTTAAGAAGTCAATTAATGAAACGTCCCAATTTTCGTTGATGTGTTTTTTCTTTTTTCTGTTTTTGAAAGGACGGAGAGGGAGACTTCATAAGTTTTTTTTTTTGTGTCTGTTTTTTACGGCTTAGTCTTCTTTCACTCTTTCTACAACTCTTATTTATTTTAATTTTACTTTTCTAATCAACTTATCACTAACAAATTCCAATATCATCAACTTGTTTTGCCGTCTTTTTAACTTTGTCACAGAGGTAGAATTAGAAGTTCTATTTTTAAAAGACGATTTTGAAGCCAGTTTAAACGAGGCTAATGCGGTTTATTGGGAAGAATAGGGGAGTAGATGATCACCGGAGAAGGACACGCTTTATGGCAATTGTTTTGTGGCATTATTAAGATTTCAGAAGTACATATATATATATAAAATTGTAAAATTCGTATTTGATTTCTTTTTTTTTGTTTTTGTTTCGTTTTGTTTTTGGTTAGGGAACAGCTGAAAACATCGATGTGCCGCTATTGCTGTTTGTTGGTGGTTGAGACGATCAGAAAGGAAAAAAAATCAAAAAAATTTTGGATAATCATAGGCAATTATGAAGTTTTTGGTGTTGTCAGCACGACACTGGCCACGTACTGCTTCTGCTTTCAGTGACTGTTGTCGATGTCGTTAGTTATGATGTTGTATTCGGGTATTTCCGTAGCATTTACACTGTCTGTTGACCGGCTTCATCACTTCTTGTCCTGGGCTCTTTTTTTTTAGTTAAGTTAAGTAACTTTTCAATTAGCCCATTAACTTTAGTCTATATAATATATATCCAGAATAGTTGTAATGTTGGAAAGCTTTTGTATTATATTGATGTTTTCTTATCTGCTTTTTTTTATTTTCTTTTCTTCAGAAATTTTTACGTAGAGAAGAAGAAGAAGAA